TCTGTAACGATAAGCCACACAGGTATTCGTTTCAAGGAGTGATTTTCCAGACAGAGCCTTCTGTCTGTGTCTGTCTGACTGTTTGAACCGTCCATCTGCTACAGATGGCAGATGGAGGAGAGGAGAGAAGACAACGAGGTCGAGAGATAGCTGATGACAATTTTTGGTTTGCAAATGCATAAAATATGACTGAGGTGCTATTATAAAATACTCTTTAGGTATTCTTTAAAAATAGCCAGGAAGATAATGAACATATCCTCAGAGTCTAGGTACATAATGAGTCATAGGGATGCAGTAAGAACTCTTTTTAAAGAACCTACTGTAGAAAAGAGAAGAGAAGAGAAGAGAAGAGAAGAGAAGAGAAGAGGTAGCTTAGTCTGAGCGTTTCAGCAAAATGGCAAAAGGCTGAGGGGTCAAAGAGTGAAAAGATGATTCTTTGTAGAGTTTCCCTTCTTACAAAACAAACAAGCATGGCCTTTAAAGAAAATCTAAGGTTAAAGAATAAAAAGAAAGAACCATAACTAAGCACCAGAAAGGCTTCTTTAAAGGCGATATAAGACGCACACAAAGACACAGATCAACTGAGGAGCTATTCTATAATAAAAAGTAAGAGACATTCAGGGGGTGTTGCTGCTGTTGACAGTGCGGGTAAATAGAGAAAATAAGGACTTGTGGTTAAGAGAGAAAGAGTCAGAGAGGGAGAGTGGGGTACTGTGCAATGTGAAAAGCCATCAGACGAAAGAGATGGTAAACAAAGGATTAGAGGGTCTAATCACAGCTAATTACAGCTCACTGACCATTCCCTGGCCTATTGTTTGCAGGGTGGTGAGAACGTCCTTCAACTAGGCCTGACACTGGTGTTTTACATCTGAACCAATAATCAGGGTTGACCCTCTCCTTCACATTATCCCTTCTGATGTCTGTAAACAGTTTAGTTGAATTTCAAGGGTCGTTTTTACCTCAAAGAAATAATTTGTTGCCATTCGTGATAATATAGTCTGAGAAACAACTTCCATAATTGCCTAAAGTAGATAATCCATCTCAGTAAACATGAAACCCTGAGTCTAAGTTGGGTTTTACTGTTATTTCACTGTGCTCAGGTTGTGTGTGCATTACATTATGCTCAGTTTTCTGTCACTCACCTGACAGGACAGAGAAATGGAAGTCTCTGCAAAACCGTAGAAACTTAAATGCATTTTTTGCAGGTCTTTGCTAACTGGGTACTTGTTAATTTCAAGCAACAGTAGATTTAATGAAAGCTTTGTGTTAAGTAATGGAATACTATCAAATCTAATTACATTCAGATTGCATGCTTTGCCTTTATTTGGTAGTGTTACCTATAGTTGTGAAGGGGATGTGACTTGATCAAGTATTCTTGATCAAGACCTGAATTTCTGAAAACAGGAGAACCTTATGTTTTATCATATAAGTCATCTAGTAAAATATATGTCATAAAATGTTCTTTAATAAATGTTACTCTTTTTATTTTGATGATAAACACTGATGATCAATCAAGCTCACACTGTACATGTATATCAAATGTGTGCATTTTTTTTCAATGCTTTATTTAAAGCCGTTTCTCTCAGTATTTGAGTTTGAGCAACGTTGCAAATCCTAAATACCACTTACCATTTTGACAGATCTTACAGTAATGATTTATGTTATTGTTGTGTTTCTACATCAAAAACATAAAAACGTTATAAAGTGAATTTATTTGATTTTAACTAAATGTGGGCATCGGTGTGTTCTCACTTTTTCAATATTATACATGGGCAACCCATCATTTGTTCACTCATCCATGTTTGTGCACTAATATATCTTAGACACCACTGAACTAATATTGACAGACATCTAGAAAAATTATGCATCTCACTGATTAACATTTAAGACTATAGACTATAAGCAGACTTATCTATGTCAAGGTTCTACACCATGTCCTGTAATGAAACTATTTTACATATCTGTAGAATCTATTTGAATATAATTTAGTAATCAACTGACAATTTTTTAAAGGTAATTAGAATGACTTTAGCAATCATGTCGCAGATGAGTGTAAAGCATTGAATAGATACAAAGAATATAGTTAAGGGAGACAGGAGGATGAGAAATCAAAGCCTTGCATACAGTACATGGTCCTACACATAAACATGCACACAATAGTATTTCCCTCCCAACAATGGATGTCAGAGAGAATGCTTCCAGTATCTGACTACTGTAGTTGCTATTGAATCCCTCTTCTCTGCTCTCTGCCTGACTGCCAGACAATAGCAGGGTTGTCAAAGGTCCCTCAGCTCCTTCTAAGCCCCATCTGCCTTTCTTCTACTTCTCCCCCTCCTCTTCTCTACCTCTTTCCCCCACTTTTCTGTTCCCGTCTAACGCCTTTGCTGTGGGTCATGGTGCAGTTCCCGGGAAACAGTGGGGATCTGTGTGTGCACATGAGGGAGAAAACAGTG